CTCAGGATTAAGAAACTAACTCAGAATCACACAACTTCATGGAAAATGAACAACTGGCTCTTGAATGTTGACTGGATAAACAATGAAATGAAGGCAGAAATAAAGATGTTCTTTGAAACCAATGAGAATGAAGACACAATATACCAGAATCTCTGGGACACATTTAAAGCAGTGTCTAGAGAAAAATTTATAGCAATAAATGCCCACATCAGAAGCAAGGAAAGATCTAAAATTGATACCCTATCATCAAAATGGAAAGAGCTAGAGGAGCAAGATTTTAAAAACCCTCAAATCTAGCAGAAGACAAGAAATAACTAAGATCAGAGCAGAACTGAAGGAGAAAGAGACATAAAAAACCCTTCAAAAATTAATAAATCCAGGAGATTTTTTGAAAAGATCAACAAAATAGACATAACACTAGCCAGAATAATAAAAAAGAAAAGAGAGAAGGATCAAATAGATGCAATAAAAATGATAAAGGGGATATCACCACTGATTCCACAGAAATACAAACTACCGTCAGAGATTACTACAAACAACTCTATGCACATAAACCAGTAAACCTGGAAGAAATGGATAAATTCCTGAACACTTGCACCCTCCCAAACCGAAACCAAGAAGAAGCTGAAACCCTGAATAGACCAATAACAAAGGCTGAAGTTGAGGCAGCAATTAATAGCCTACCAACCAAAAAAAAAAAAGCCCAGGTCCAGATGGATTCACAGCCAAATTCTACCAGACATCCAAAAAGGAGCTGGTACCACTGGTTTTGAAACTATTCCAAACAATCCAAAAAGAGGGAATCCTTCCCAAATCACTTTATGAGACCAACATCTCCCTGATACCAAAACCCAACAGAGACTCAACAAGAAAAGAAAACTTCAGGCCAATTTCCATGATGAACACAGATGCGAAAGTCTTCAATAAAATACTGGCAAACCAATTGCAACAGCACATCAAAAAGCTTATCCATCATGATCAAGTAGGATTCATCCTGCGGATGCAAGGCTGGTTCAACATACACATGTCTATAAACATAATCCACCACGTAAACAGAACCAAAGACAGAAACCACACAATTATCTCAATAGATGCAGAGAAGGCCTTCAACAAAATTCAACAGTGCTTTATGCTAAAAACTCTCAATAAACTAGGTATTGATGGAACGTATATCAAAATAATAAAGTTCACGTCCTTTGTAGGGACATGGATGAACCTGGAAACCATCATTCTCAGCAAACTGACACAAGAGCAGAAAATCAAACACCGTATATTCTCACTCATAGGCGGGTGTTGAACAATGAGAACACATGGACACAGGGAGGGGAGCACTACACACTGGGGTCCGTTGGGGGGAAATGGGGGAGGGGTGGGGGGGTGGGGAGGTGGGAAGAGATAGCATGGGGAGAAATGACAGATACAGGTGAGGGGACGGAAGGCAGCAAACCACACTGCCATGTGTGTACCTATGCAACAATCTTGCATGTTCATCACATGTACCCCAAAACCTAAAATGCAATAAAAAAATAATAATAAAAGCTATTTATGACAAACTCACAGCCAATATCATACTGAATGGGCAAAAACTGGAACCATTCCCTTTGAAATCTGGCACTAAACAAGGTTGCCCCTCTAACCACTCCTGTTCAATATAGTATTGGAAGTTCTAGCCAGAGCAATCAGGCAAGAAAAAGAAATAAAGGGTATTCAAATAGGAAAAGAGGAAGACAAATTGTCTCTATTTGCAGACGACATGATTGTATATTTAGAAGACCCCATTGTCTCAGCCCAAAATCTCCTGAAACTGAGAAGCAACTTCAGGAAAGTCTCAGGATACAAAATCAGTGTGCAGAAATCACAAGCATTCCTATACACCAATAACAGACTTAAAGAGAGCCAAATCAAGAATGAACTGCCATTCACAATTGCTACAAAGAAAATAAAATACCTAGGAATACAACTAACAAAGGATGTAAAGGACCTCTTCAAGGAGAACTACAAACCACTGCTCAAGGAAGTAAGAGAGGACACAAATAGATGGAGAAACATTCCATGCTCAATTAGGAAAGAATCAATATTGTGAAAATGGCCATACTGCTCAGTGTAATTTATAGATTCAATGCTATCCTAATCAAGCCTCCTATGACCCTCTTCACAGAACTGGAAAAAAATCACCTTAACCTTCATATGGAACCAGAAGAGCCTGCATAGCCAAGTCAATTCTAAGCAAAAAGAACAAAGCTGGAGGCATCACGCTACCTGACATACTACAAGGCTACAGTAATCAAAACAGCATAGTACTGCTACCAAAAAAGAGATATAGACCAATGGAACAGAACAGAGGCCTCGGAGGCAATGCCACACATCTACAACTATCTGGTCTTGAAAAGCATGACAAAAGCAAGCAATGGGGAAATGATTCCCTGTTTAATAAATGGTGTTGGGAAAACTGGCTAGTCATGTGCAGAAAACAGAAACTGGACCCCTTCCTGACACCTTACACTAAAATTAACTCCAGATGGATTAAAGACTTAAACATAAGACCTAAAACCATAAAAATTCTAGAAGAAAACCTAGGGAAAACCATTCAGGATATAGGCATAGGCAAGGACTTCATGACTAAAATACCAAAATCAATGGCATCATAAGCCAAAATAGACAATTGAGATCTAATTTAACTTCAGTGCTTCTGCACAGCTAAAGAAACAATCATTAGACTGAACTGGCAACCAGCAGAATGGGAAAAAATTTTTGCAGTCTACCCATCTGACAAAGGGCTAATATCCACAATCTACAAAGAACTAAAACAGATTTACAAGAAACAAACAAACAAACACATTAAAAAGTGGGTGGAGGATGTGAACAGAGACTTTTCAAAAGAAGACATATATGAGGCCAGCAAACATATGAGAAAATGCTCGTCATCACTGGTCATTAGAGAAATGCAAATCAAAACCACACTGAGATACCATCTCATGCCAGTTAGAATGGTGATCATTAAAAAAATCTAGAGACAACAGATGCTGGAGAGGATGTGGAAAGATAGGAACACTTTTACACTGTTGTGGGGAGTGTAAATTAGTTCAACCATTATGGAAGAGAGTGTGGCGATTCCTCAAGGATCTAGAAATAGAAATTCCATTTGACCTAGCAATCTCATTACTGGATATATATCCAAAGGTTTATAAATCATTCTATTATAAAGACATATGCACACATATGTTCATTGTGGCACTGTTTACAATAGCAAAGACCTGGAACCAACCCAAATGCCCATCGATGATAGACTGAACAGGGAAAATGTGGCACATATACACCATGGAATACTATGCAGCCATAAAAATGATGGCTGTCCTTTGTAGGGACATGGATGAACCTGGAAACCATCATTCTAAGCAAACTGACATGAGAACAGAAAATCAAACACTGCATTTTCTCACTTACAGGCTGTTGTTGAACAATGAGAACACATGGACACAGGGAGGGGAGTATCGCACACTAGGGGAGGGACAGTGGGGGTGGGGGTTGGGAGTTCGGGAGGGTTAACATGGGAAGAAATGCCAGATATAGGTGATGGGGATGAAGGCAGCGAACCACATTGCTATGTATGTACCTATGCAACAATCCTGCATGTTCTTCACCAGTACCCCAGAACCTAAAGTGCAATCATATATATATATATATATATATATATATATATATATATATATGAATAAAGTTCTGATACATGCTACCACATGGATGAAACTTTAAAACATTACGTCAAGCAAAAAGTCAGACACAAAAATTCACATATTGTATGATACCATTTATATGAAATATCCAGAATAGACAAATCCATAGAGATAGAAAGTATATTAGTGGCTGCCCAGATCCGTTGCTGGAGAGAGAATGGCGAGTGACTGCTAATGCATATGTGGTTTCTTTTGGGGACAGCAAAAATGTTCTAAAATTAGAGGGTATAGAAGTTTGCTCAACTTTGTAAATATATTGAAAACCATTGAATTTGTACACTTTAAATGGATGAATTTTATGATGTGGAAATTATAACTCATAAAGGTGTTAAAATAAATGAATAAGCAAAATGTGAAGTGAAACACACTATAATCATGTCTCCCAAAGATGAGCAAATTTTTTGCATTTGTCATAATGTATACATACTTTATGATTGTTATTTTTAAAGGGGCTTATTCTACAGATACTGTCCAAACATTTCAAAAAATCTTATTTTTATGCAGGGAGTACTTTTCATATCAATGTATACATATTTCAGTATTTATAAGGGCCACAAATTAATCCATTGCATTGATCCCCTACAGTTTATTTAAACACTTGTTTTTTGATGAACATTTAGGAAATTTCTAATGATTTCCTTTTCAAACAAAGCTCTAGTGGACATCTTTATACATTTATCTTTGAGCAATTGTGTATTTCGATGTCTTTCTTCAATGTTAATTGTCTTCAAAGTTATTTTATTTATTTATTTATTTATTTTTGAGATGGAGTCTCCCTCTGTCCCCCTGGCTGGAGTGCAGTGGCTTGATGTCGGCTCACCGCAACCTCCGCCTCCTGGGTTAAAGCGATTCTCCTGCCTCAGCCTCCTGAGTAGCTGGGTCTACAGGTGCACGCCACCACACCCAGCTAATTTTTGTATTTTTAGTAGAGACAGGGTTTCACCATGTTGGCCACGATGATCTTGATCTCCTGACCTCGTGATCCACCTGCCTCAGCCTCTCAAAGTGCTGGGATTACAGGCATGAACCACCATGCTGGCCTTAAAGTTATTTATATAAGAAACTGGGAGACACTTATTAGGTACCGCTAGCTGTGTAACAAACTGGAAGTTCTCCGCATTTCCCTTCTGTCTCTTAAAGCCCATCTGATATCTGAAGGTTTTTTGTTTTTTTTTTTCATCTTTTAAGTTCCAGGGTACATGTACAGGATGTGCAGATTTGTTACATAGGTAAACGTGTGCCATGGTGGTTTGCTGCACAGATAAAAAATATATAGAACGCTTCACAAATCTGCATGTCATCCTTGTGCAGAGACCATGTTCACTTCTCTGTATCATTCCAATTTTAGTGTATTTACTGCTGAAGTCAGCACTGAAATATTTTTTCTTAAAACATAAGTTACCCTTTTAAAAAGGGGAGGCATTTTTTCATATCCATGAATACTTCCTTTCTTGTTGAATATATCAAAAATTAAACATATTTGCCATATATTATCTGACTAATTGATTTACATTTTGGGAATAGCTACTAAAAAAACAAAACAAAGAAAACTTACTAGTCCAAATAGTTAAAGCCCAAAGCTAAGATACTAGTGTTTTTGGGGGGGTTGCAGAGTATACATTATTCAATTGAGGTTAAAGTGGATATGATAGAAAATAGATGATAGATAACACAGTGTAGGTTATTTCTATTATATAATTAATGATGCACAAATATATGCATATATAATATATATACACACACACAGAAGTTTTGATGGCATTCTTAGAGCATCATAATACTATTGCCCGTATAGTTAGTAGTCCCACATTTTTTACTTAAACCAAAATTGCATTTTGAATTGTGATTCAGACTTTTTTCTGCTTACCAAAAAAGAAAAAAATAGGCATCCATATTCACTGGAATAGAGAAATTTATATCAAAGTGTGAGGAAGCAAACTGACTATATTTGTTTAAAGAGAGAGAAAAGGGTGATCGTTTTACTCAGACTGAAATAAAAGATGCCTTGCAAGGACACAATTAACAAATACCAAGATGCTTAATTTTAAGCCACAGTACTTCCCTGTAGTTTGTATATTTTTATACTCCTTTATTGACTAAAATTTATTAGTTTCCTTTTACATTGCTTGTATTCATTTTTAGACTTATTCCAATTCTGAGTATTTCAATTATAAAGTGTTAAATCTCTAAGCATAAAATTTGTGACTTTTTTCTGATAAATGTCTAATCATGATCCAGAAAACTTTAATTTAGTGTATAAATAATAAATTTTAATTCTGTTGTATATAATTCTTTCCTAGAATTCTTGTAGAAAGGGAATGATTCTCAGGAAAGAGAATTGAGTTGTTCCCTGGGAAGGTATGCATCTCACCTACTCTTAAGTTATGGATTGCATTCAACAAGAACAAATAGTGACATATTTTCTGTCTTCTTCTGTCACTGTACTAGTTTGTCCCAAGTTGAAAAATTATCCTCACTTTAAAAATAATTATGTAGAAGCTTAACTTTGGCATAGGTTAAAGTTTTCCCAGATCTCAGCTATGACAGTTAGCATTCCTCTAGTTTGAGACTTACAGAAGTCCTGGGATTTCTCTCTAAGGAAAAATGTAGGATCTTTCTCCCTATTCAACTTTCAAAGTTCAGTTGACCTCTGAACAGCATAGAGTTTCGTGCTGACCCCCCACGCAGTTGAAAATCCTTGTTTAACTTTTGATTCCTTCAGAAATTAACTACTGATAGCCTATTGTTGACCAGAAGCACTGACAATAACATAAAGTCTATTAACACATATTTTTATAGGTATTACATACTGTATTCTAATAATAAAGTAAGCTACAGAAAAGAAAATGTTATTAGGAAAATCCCAGGAAGGATAAAATAGTTACACTACTATACTGTATTTATCACAGCTGTAAGTTTGCATCATCTGTTTATAAGATGAATTGTCTGAGGTGGTGGGCAAATGCAGTGACAGACCTCAAGCTACAGTAATACATCAAGCAGTTCAATGTTTTCTTGTAATGTTATGACTTTTCTCTGTTTTGGGGAGCACTTTCAGCATCCCTAGTGGTACTACCTGTGGATCCCATGATGTTATTCAAGGTTTACAATATTGCACTAAACACAATGAAAGATATCTAGAACTTTGAGAGGTCACTTTTTACTGTGGTAATGCAATTTACTGGAGAGATGAACTGCTTACGCAAAGATGATTAGTGTCACGCAGGGTTTTAAGTGAATACTTGCAACACTTGAGCTCATCACAACAGCAACAGAAGGTGGCTATGAAATGATTACAGCAGTACAGTATGTAGTGTGGTTAGTTTTATGCAGTTATGATTTAATACTACCCCTTTATGTTTGTTTATGTAAATGGTGCCATGTATAGCATTTGTGTACCTAAGTTTTGGTAAGTTTTAACATTTTATAATAAATTTGTATATATTTTATGGTAGTGCATGATAAAATAAACTAGTATCTACATATATTTTGTGCATTTGTGGCATACTTTTTCTTATTTTTTTGATATCTCTAAGCTATGCTTTTTGTTTGTGAGTTTTTTGAACTTGCCACAAATCTCCAACAATTTTTCCAGTATATTTATTTTTAAAAATCTGCTTATAAGTGGATGCACACAGTTCAAACCCATGTTGTTCAAGGGCCAACTGTAGTCTGATTTCATGGAATCATGGATGTTCAAGTTGGATGGAACTTTAGATGTAATCTGGTTTAAAGCTATCATCATACATATTAAGGCATTGAGTTTGAGGGAGATGATGTAATACATTCTGGGTCAAATGAATTAGTGACTGAAATAGGTCTGGAATCCAGGGTGTTTTTTTTTTTTTCTTCTTAATTTCAAGTCCTTTTGATCTTTTCTATGTATGTATGAACTAGATGACTTCAAGGTTCTTTCCAGCATTTGGGATTTAGTGGAGTAGATTACAACTGAGGAATTTTTATAAACTTGGCCTTGTTTCAGTTGTGGTAAATTTCTGAAGGAATGCAGTTATTTCCTTTGAATTCTATAAAATTCCAGAGAAATTATTCAACAGTTAGCAATTTGTTATTGTCATGAGCTAGACCATGTCATTATAAGGAAAATGCTAGTTCTAGGCTGCACACTCCACTGGATGGATCCACTGGGTCCTGGACTTGGTGAAAAGATCTCGGGGTACTAATTATTGTGGGTGAGTTTTTCTTTGGAGCCACTAGTTTACTCACAAAAACCAAAGGGTATTACTATTATCTGAGAATCAGAAAATAATATCAGCCCTCTGGGTCCTTCCTATTTTATAGGACATAAATATTTAATGAAGTATCCCTTGAGTTCAGGTTCAGAGAAACAGCATGGGTCATTAGAGGAGATCAGACTTGTTCAGGGTGGCATAGCCACTGTGGCTTGGGTCACTAGGGCAACAACACTGTCAGTGACCTCGCATCACAGCTTGCATTAATGGTGGTCACCTAATTAGCTAATACCATTTTTATCAGCACTGACATAATGGCCTGGATTATATTGGTAGGACACTGACTTGCATGTTCTAATTCCTCTACCTGCTGATTGGATCCATTCTTGGTTGGAACACAGATGTTGATATTTAGAAGATAAATTTAGCCTGTTGGCTAAATACTGATCAGAATTGTGGATTTGAGGATTGGTGATTGGGAAATGCTTTGATCCCCTGGGAAATAAAAGTTTCTGCTTGGACAGGGTGCCACCAGACTGGGTATACATTTTTACTATTGATTTTCATCAGGCAGGGGATTCTGAAAAGGAATAGAATTGACTTGTTCAGAAAGTACTGAGTGAGCAAGGCAGTGAGCAAGGCTGAGCTTCTCAGTGGCTGCCCATTTGTTCCACTCTTATAACTTCTGAAAGAAACAACTCAAGAAAACGCAGAACACCAAAAATGTTCAGCACGGTACTTGGGAGTTATTTAAGATTCTGGCATATTCTTTTCTGACTCTTGTGTGCTATTTTAAAGCCCTTGTTCACCAAGAAACCACAGAGGAAGAAGAGGTGGACACAGGCACAAATCCTAGAAAGCTGTTATCTTTTGAATGATAAATCAATCCACCTGGGTCACCATGAGCCTCCAGTATTTTCCACTGGATATAAAGCGATTCACTTTCTTTCCAGTTGCTTTGGTCCTTTATAAGACCAGCTTCTTAATATCTCTTTCCTTGACGTGAGGCTGTCCCTAACTAGTACTTCTTCTTGCCTAAGGAGCTACAGCTGTTTTGATATTCTCCAGAACCATCTTCTTCCTGTCTCCTCCACTTCTTGCTTGGGAAAGGAAAAGCAACTTCTTTCCTTGGGGAACCCTAATATTTATTTGTATTTCTATTTTGAAGCTGAATTCTGTAAGTTTTGTTGTGTTGTCACTAACTGCAATAAAGACAGAGGGACCCCTCTCTATATAGTCTTTAAGAAAAGGGAAGCATGACCAGAGGAAATTAATTGATCGACACAGACTAGAAGCGCAAAAGCCATCTCAATGCAACTGTTTTTGTTAATATCTTTCCTCATTCTTTTGTTGGTCATCTGTTTTTTTCATGCCCTACAGCCTAAGTTTCTGAACTTAGGATTGTCTCCCTAACCAAAAGGCCCAAGAAATGACCATTTGGTACTCCTCGGGCCCTTTGGTGAGGGCATCTGGCCTAATCATGACAAACTGATGAGTTGGCGTCTTCCATAGAGTGGAACAAGGACTGTTGGCTGAGAAAAGAGTGAATCTGAAGCTGAGGACAGAGTTGGCTCATGGAACATTTTATCTGTTTTCTGAGTTTCTTGTCCCAGTACGTCAACAAATTTGTTTTTGCTTAAAGACTTTCCCACACAAATGTCTGCCAAGTTCAGATGACTGCTTTTTTAGATTGATCTTGGTTTTCTTGGAACAAGACCTGAAATTATATAATAAGCTTAGTTGGTCTCAGTGAGAAAAAGTTGGGAGATTCTATTTTTACATACATTAGACAGGTCTGGGCATAGAAGAAAGAAGGGCCTGAAAACAAGGTAGGTGAGGGTGGGAGGTGGGAGGAAAGAACTGGTTAAAGGAGATTTCCCTTGTGTCTACTTTTCCCAATTGTCCTTGGGGCTCTCTGGGTCGCTCAGAATTGAGCACTGGGGCTGCAATGCTCAATGTTAAGATACACTCTAACCACACTTTCAGTTAATTTACCCTAGGCCAGTGTGTTAGAAAAGGGACTTTAGGTTGCTGATTTCTAAATTGGTAGAGGCATTACCAATTTCCAGAGCACCTCCAGAGTGTATATTCATAGACTAGAAGCCACTTTCCTCTGAGACATAAAGAAAACATGCCATTGTGATGATCTCCCTGCTGGAAACTAGTCATCCCTTGATA